GCAGGTTGACTTGAGCCAAAATGGCTTCCCCCGCTCTCTCCTTCTCTCTTCTTCCACACAGTCAAAAAGAGAGCTGACAGCCGACAACTCCCCCTCGCGCGCGGGCACGCCCTGCTTGTCTCAGTCTCTGTGCGAAAGCTGTGGACGATGAGGGCAGCTGTATCACAACTGTTGAACCACCCCCTTAAACTAATGCAATCCCCCGTTGGCCTCATCAGTCATTCAACTCGCACAGGGGCTGGCAGTTCGCGGAACCAACAAGCATGCTTACAGCTACAAGACAATAAACATCATCACAAACTCTCTGCTCTGCCCCTTTGTGGCGCTGTGGACATGACATGCCGTGAAGCAAAACAGCAGCTAGCATGTGACATGGTTAGTTCACAAACCGACGTGATCCCCCGTGCCTAGTTCTCCGCTGCTTGCTACTGCATCCCTCCGTCAAACTGAAACAGCAATTTAGTGGCACGAACCACGCATCGTTACAGTAACAGTTTACGTGGCAAAGAGTCGATTTAGCGAGCGCTGCTTGGGGACTCGGCCGTATTTCCTGAAGCTGACATATAGCTTCTGTGTGCATCCGCTGTACTAGGTGTTTCGTTGTCGCTTGTTCTGACAGTGATCGTGGGGACCCAAGTGTGAGGCTTCAGGGAGGGGTGGAAGGAGCAGACAGTGTCGCGCAAGGTTCAGTTCGGGCTCAGGCAGGGAGGCAGGTAAGGCTGGGATGCAGAGAGAGCCATTTCATGCGGGGGAGTGGAGCTCCCGACCTCAAACCACAGCGAGGGGGCTTCCACCTTGTTTGGAGTTGTAACTGTTGTTTGCAATATTGCTACTGGTGACACAAACGAGGAGCTCTCTTCACCACTGGGGTCAGGCATGAGCAGACAAAGCTGGGTTCTGTCATTAGCTGTTCTCTAGTACCTCTGTTGCCACAAAGTGCTACTGAGAGTCTTGAAGTTGGGGGGCCCGCGGATGACTCAAGTGGTGCCTACAAGGGATTTCTACGATCAGGGTTTAGCAGAGAGAATGGGCACCAGAGCGTCGTCGACCCCTAAGCCCTGCAGAAAGAAAACAGTATCGGCACCAGCTCTTTCTTGCGTGCAAAACTAGTGCAGTCGAGCCCATCCTACCGAAATGGTGGATGGGGCAGCTCTGACGAGCGGGAGGTAACTGCCTGCCTCCGGAGCCCCTGAGCATAGCAAAGAGAGAGACAGAGACAGAGACAGAGACAGAGACAGAGACAGAGACAGAGACAGAGACAGAGAGAGAGAGAGAGAGAGCTCGCATTAGCCCACAGGATGCATTATACCCTTTCTCCTGCATAAAACATGCAGGTGGGCATTTTTGCCCGGGGTCTTGACCGACCCCTATGCCCGGGAGAGACAGAGAGAGAGAGAGAGAGCTCGCGCGTGGAGCTTAGGGTTGGACCGCCCGAGAGAAAGAGAGAGATGCCGAACATGGGCGACGTCGTACGCTCGCGGCACATTTCGATGCGGGGGGTAACCCCAATGTATAGACTTCAGTCCGCACTCTCCGTTGGAAGCCTGTGTGTTGAGAGTTGGTATGTATCCCTGCTCCCCAGCTCTTGCCGAAAGCCTCCCAACTAACAAAAACCACACCCTTCGGGGCTTCAGTCGTCATTATCTAGGGAGCTTGGGCTTGTGAAATTGCGCCTTCACTTGTCCCCCTCTCAGTTGCTCTTGCGGCTGGTCGGACTGAGGGCCTGTCACAGAGCCCATCATTGTCAGGCTGAGGGAGTGAAATATGAGTATAGCTCATCTTTTGGGCTAAAGCTCTCTCTCTCTCTCTCTCTCCCGGGTATAGGGACGTCTCACCCTCCCCAGGCAAATTGCCCACTCGATCATTTTGATCAGGTTTCGGCGAGTGAAGAACGAACATTAATCATCCAGACGCTAAAGCTAAGTAAATGGTCTAGAAGAATAAGGATGATTGAATGTTCTCCAGGAGACATGCATAGACACGATTTACGACCCCTCAGCACAGCTCGAAGAGTAAAGGGGCAGAGATTAATAGAATAATGCTGAGGTGTAAATCTTTCTCTCTCCCTCTCTCTGGTCTGCACTCTGCACATCATGGTGTCTTGCAACAGGCTGCGGTGCATGCTTTTGGGAGCCTCATTCCGATCCAGGCTGGTGCCTGCGCTTGAATGCCGGAGTTGGCGGGAAAAGTGCTGAGGTGAGATGCGAGACTGCCAGGTCAGCTTCAAAATGCTGTTGCAGAGGCGTGCGTCCATGACTGTTCACTGGCTGGGATTCTTGAAGCTGAGCAGTTGAGAGCCCTACTCGCCAAGCTGGCAGGCGTTTGCCCATTGCCCTGCTCCTGCCTCCTTGAAGAGGTGGCTTTGCTCGGAGCCGGTCACGGCGAGCAGGGAGCCGGCAGTTGACCAAGCAAGTCGGAAAGCCTCCTCGCCCACGTTCCAGGAAGTCGAAACGTTCCAGGGTTGGCCGTCCATATCCTGCCACCATATTTGGAGAAGTCCGTCCTCAAAGCACACTGCGATAGAACTGGACGGTATTCCCAGATTGGGCCTCCATGCAACATCACGGACTGCCGGCCCGGATCCTCTCTCAACTAACTCATGTTGCAAGGACCACGCGTCGCTCTTCTCGTCTCCTCGCCAAATCTTCACAGAGTCGCTCGATGCAGAGACCAGCCGAAGGGGAGCTCGAGCTGCAGCTCGGGCCGCCGCCGGCCCGGCTGCCAGCGTGGCTGGACTGGCTGCTGGCGCCCAGCAGAAGCCCACCAGACCTGCAGTGTGGGCCTCCAGAACCTTCGAGAGCCACTGCTCTCCGGCCGGGAGGACGGGACTTGCCACAACCTCCTTGCGTGTAAGGAAAACTATCTCCGGACTCTCACTGCCAGCGACGGCCAACATGAGGCCATACTCAGCAGGTCGAAAGCTTGCAGCAACCACCGACCCTCTCACCGTGAGCTGGTGCACCGAGCTCCACCTGAAACCAGCTCACGCTCACACCGCCCGGAACTAGATGATGCGGCTTCGAAACTGCTCTCTGGCTGGGCGCTTGGCTGACTTTGCTGTTCTCGCCACAGCAATATGCTTCCGTCAGCTGCACCACTCACCAGCTGAACCTTCCACACTTTCAGCTGTTAGCGAGCATCAGTTTCGCCTTCCGCGTGGCCCAAAACATGCACATCCTGCAGTTCTCGCTGAGCAGCAGGGAGGGTCTTCTTTGGAGCCCAGCCCACGACCAGCACAGCGGCCTGGTGAGCTGGCAGCCTTGCACAAAACTCAAGCTCCATTCCGTCGCTCCCGCCCGAAGATCATCCAAGGTCTGGGCTGTGCTACCATCTGGTGGCTGTCTGCACACCAAATCCTGACCACCTGAGATTCGTTTCTCTCGGACCGGTCTGTACTCTAAATGCGGCGGCATCGCGAGAGAGAGAAAGAGACACAGCTACTTCACTGCGCTGGTTGGCCAAGACACCCCGTCAGATGAAGCCGTCGCCAAGCGTCGACCAACGGAGTCATACCTGGTGTCTCGTCTTAACGTGTGTGAGCAGAGGCAGTCAGAGAAGTGGGCTTCTCCTGAACTTCGGCTAAGAGACTTGGCATCGTGCAGGCAGCCGAAGCGCAATACATCATAGCCAGGAGGTGCGACCATGTGGAATGGTGGCTGAGACACACGTTAAAACTTCGTAGTGGCCCTGCTACAGCACGCTCGCGGAGACTTTGCAAGATTATCAAACTGTAAGTGTGTACTTCGAGGAAGTGAGCAATCGCTCAATGGCCATCATGTCGGAGCCAAGGGGTCAATGGCTGAGCATATGATACTACACAGCCACCACATTGACATGACACTTGCCTTGCCAGAGTTGCTGAGATGGCTGGAGACGGCCTATGGTGCATAGCCCTATGTCACTGTGCTTGATCCGCAAGGCTGCACAGGAAGTCCGCGCCGTCAGAACCGCCACTAGAACTGCCTCTGAAAGCTGACGAATGCTTGCGAGATGTGCTGGCAAGCTATCTGGCTGAAGTCTGGCTCCTCGCAACCCTGCATCGAGCTCCTGTACGGAAGGGCTGAAGGAAGTCAGCCGAGGGCAACGACTCAGGGATAGTGCGGCCTCTTGCACCGCTCTGCCGACACCAAGAGAAAGCTCATCGGAAAGGAGCTGCAGAACTTTGCCGAGACAGCCTCCAAAGTATGTAACTCTTGTAGTTTTGGAATAACTCCAGCGCGTTGCTTCATCGCTGCTGCACTTTCCCGGAAAATCTGCTTTCTACATTGGAACGACTTCGACCGCGCCCTTGCGCAGCTCGTGAAAGCAAACCTACACGAGGTCCCTACTGACTCGCTGCTGTCCCTGCAACCGAAAGAGAATCGACATGCCCTGCATATTCACCCTATCTCCGCCCGTACAATCGACTGCAAGCGGCAAGCAACGGTCTACAAGATGCTGGCTAGACCAAGTCATCGCAAGCTCGGTCTCTCAGCAGTATGGAGTGATTGAATCACAACCTGCGGGACCCACGGAAACTCGCTGCTCCCGAAGAGGAATGATGTACCATGATGTACCGATGTACCACAGAGACCGTGGGCGCACCCAATGGATTGCAGAATCTCATCAGGCGGCCTGTCGTGCAAAAAGGGAATACTCGTTCCTTCTGAATGAGGATGCTTGTCGTGACGCCCGCGCTCCCCCACATGCGCACTCCGAGGATCAATGAGGAGCGGTTCAGTCTACGTCACAAGGACCCCAGCCTGGTGGGATGGTCAAGGGGCTTCGGCAGCTTTGCCGGATCGAGGACCTGAAAAGAAGAAATGCGGTCAACTCGCAAGGATCCCGGTCTTTCGTGCAGCCACCGGTGCAGACGGGCCGGTCACTGAGGCTGCTGCACCCTCAATGATCTGCGTGGCGGCTTTCAGATCTCTCTGCTCAATGGCCTTCAAGCTGCCCAGCTGCACTGCCCAGCATGGCAGCACAGGCCAAGCTTCCCGTCTCGGCGACTTTCCCAGACATGCGCAGAAACACCGACACCGATCCGAGAGCAGTGGAAAGACAAAGTCTCGGGGTCGAGGGATCTGCTCTGGCAGAACTAGGAAAAACCTGTCAGTCTTCGATGTCGGGGGAAGCGGAAGAATGCACAATGGGTCTGAGATGGTCCGGTCTGGATGCAAGCGTGCTAGCTAGCCCCTTTCATTATAAGCTTCGTGAATGTTTCAGGGGCTCCCTCGCACCCTTGAGGTGTGCAAACAAAACCTCCTGATACAGTGCCTCTAGCGGGAAAAATCCACTACTTGAAGCTTTGGAATCATACCGATGTCCTTTACCTACCATTCCTTATGGCATCCCCCTACTTATTCCCTCCCGCCTCCGTTGCCTCGAGAGCGTACTGACTGTCCATGTTCATGTTCAGCACTGCCTAGGGGAAAGGTGCACTTCACTCCTCCCGGTCCCCACATGTGCCATGCCAAGGTCTGGGCGCTCTGTAAGAAGTTCCAGATGTGCGTGGCTTCCGGATTCAGCACTAAAGATGACCTCCAGCACCACAGGACCAACACCACACCCATCCAAACGCCCGCGCAAGCGCGGACTGCTGGGACCCTTGCAGGTACAAACGTGCAGCATCTTTGTGCTTCCCTGTGCCGTACTGGTAGCTCGGCTTGATGAAAGAGTCACGGCATGTCACGGCCGTCAGGAAACAGGCCTAAATTGGCATGCGCGATGGCCATGTTCGACCTCAAACTTACAATGCAGAAGAAACACCTTCACACATTTTCACACGAAGCACTGTACAAGAGCCGAGCCAACTTCGAGCATAGTTGGGCTTCAGCTCCAGCCCTTGATGATAAGCCACCTAGGCTGTGAGTAGCAAGGGGCACGTCCAACCTTACAACAGTGGAAAGGTCCTGGCAACGGCCGCCTCACTCTTGCCAGAGTTTGCCAAAGTGGCACCGAGCTTGTTCCAAACCTCTGCTCATAGCTCTGCATGAAAATCTTGCAAAACCCTTTAAGCACATGCATCCACTTTGCCATGAATCCTTGGGGCAATTGCAGTAGGATCGCTCGGTCTCAGCCGACACGCAGTGGCAAGAGCCTAGCGGTTAACGCGTCGAAAACAGCTGAGAACAACTGACTTGTCAACAAACCGCTCGCCTGAACAGCCGCAACGAAGTCTCCTCGTGCTGATTCGTTTCGCAACTGTCCACTTCGTTCGTTTGGCTTTGACTAACTCGACGAGTCTGAAACTCTTGTGGCCCAGTCTCTGTTGATATTCTCCATGACACCCAACGCTACGAATACGTCGGCATCGTGAGGGTTGGCCTGAACACCGTAGTGGAATATCATGGGCCGGACACTGGTCCATCGTTGCTGAAGCCTCTGCAGCCCGCTGAAAGAGTTCGGTGACTTGGCGGCCTCAGGTGCGATGCCACGACTTGCCAGCATGCGTATACAGTATACGTGTGAACATATACATGCACAACCAGACATGAAAATGCCTAACCACTCATAAATAAACACTCCTATATGCACGAGCATGTATATGTATATGCAGAGAGACAATACAAACATAAGCAGGGTGCAAATGTGTTTATAACCGTGTTTCTGTTTTCTATGTGCATGCATGCTGTGCCCGCCGCAAAAACTCGGTTGCATCTTTGATACAACATATTATCGACGTTATCCAGACATGGCAAAGCATGCCACAACATGTGTATCGACAGAACTTAGTTGTAGAAATTGCCCTAATCTCAAAAAAGGGTACGCTGCAATCACATACTTGTAACATACATTATAACTTGTTATAATAACATTGCAAAATGTCGGAGGTGTGGAAGCAAACGGCAACACCAGCATAACAAAAGCTACATACGACATTGCGTTTTACACTGGTCAGACAGCTTGTTTCGAAACGCAGGCCTGCATAAGATCCAAATTTGACACATCTGGCCGGATCTGACCCGCAAACTAACAAGCTCCCGAGGTTCCGTGCCCGACATGTTGCTAATTTCAGATCCACAAAACGACATATTCACCGAGGAGTATAACCCACCCCACCCGATTGGCTTGCAAGTCTCTACATCTTGACCCCACAACCTCCGACTTTCACGAATCGGACGTCAGACACTCCCCACATGTCGTAAACTTCAGAAAACATAGATCCACGAAGCATAGTTAATTTACAATGTGCAAGAACCTACATCCGAACCCCACATGCAGTCCAAACCTCACAGATCGGTTTCAAACACTGTCAACCCTGCAAGGTTTAAGACTTTAAGACTCCACATGTCTCCACATGCAATAAACGACCAGAACGCTGGTGGGACAACACGGTTTACTAGCCTTGCAAACTGCAAAACAACACATTTTAGCGCCGCTCGGTTCCGCATCGGCATCGTCGTCCCAACGCTGCAACCCACTCGCGCTGTCGCTTTGTGACTCTTTGCCGCTCATTGGTGTGCAGCCGAGAATAGATCTAAGCACGAGTGCATCATGACAGTGGCGAAGACGAAATGAATACTCTACACGAGGATATGTGCCATCGGAAATTACGATGAAAGAAATGGATGAGCGGTCCGAGGAAGGCTCTTCATACGGATGCCGGCTGCACAGTAGCTTAACTCTCCATCCACCCCTTTTCCACATCGAACTTAAAGGAAAGGGGGGGGGGGCCAATATGGCAACGTCGCTGACGTCGCCTTGCGCATGAAGTGCTTGCAGCTCGTCCGAGAAGCCTGGGAAGACAACAACAAATGCACCTGTGCCAGCGAACAAGAAGAAGCAAACTCGCAGAGGGGTTTACCCATACATTCAATGTAGTCTTGTGTTGCATGCTGGCACTACGCCGGCATTTCTCTTCCTTGTGGACGCCATCTCGCTTTGGCCTGCCTTCACTCATGCCTTCTTAGAAGGCATGTTGGCTCGAGCCGAGCCGTGACCAGCAAATGGAATAAAGAAACAGAAGTAGAAGAGCGGTTCCACCATGACTGTCAGCAAGGCTTGTGCCATTACCATCTGGTTTTGAGCTAATACCTCAACGGTTCCGGTATTGCTGAACATACGTAGTACCAGCCCTAAACTCCTTAACCCTCATCTCCAAAACTCCGTACACGCCGTGAGCAACATTCAGCCGCCCAGTGCCCCGTCGTGTGCTCATCCGCGCCACAACCCAAACCGAGAACAGCCGCACAAACCGAGCAGCAAAGACATATATTTCGACGACACGTGTTACCACTTACAAACACCCTAAACCCTACTAAATTGTTGAACCCGCGACCAAGCGCCAAAAGCCACACCGACCCCTTGCAAGAACCCATGTCCCTATCAAAAAAGAAAATCGCCAAACCCGGCACAAAAGATCTAGATCCTCAACCCAAACCCACATCTCCAAACCTTGCACGCGCTGCGGACAAGCCCCCCTCCGCGAATGATTTTGTACGTATGAGAGTGTGTGTGTGTGTGTGTGCGCTTCTATATGTCTGTGCGTCATGCCTGCACGCATACATGAATGGATGTACAACGTGTATGCATGATGTATAGTATACAAGGATACAGAAAACATGCACAGACTGGTGAATCAACCCACAGACGCTAACGGTCAAATGCCACCTAGTCTAGTCCCCGTCGGTGGGACTGCCGCAGCCAAGCTGAAGCTGCGGCGCCACGCGTCGTACTCGAAATCTGGAGGAACTTCAATTCCCTCTACGAGGGCCTCGGGCGGCTTGCAACACCATCTCTTGATTTCCCGCATGGCAAACCGTGCCTGGTGATCCTCGTGGTTTTCGAGCCACGTCCGCAAGTATTTCCTCATCTGGATGGAGGATCCCCGGAGGGAACAGCAGCAAGCGCTAATTTGGTCGCAACAAGCCGATGGTTCTGCCCCTCGTCTGCAAAGCATCTTACGTGAACTTCCACGTGGACTCCTCATCTACGAAGCATTCGCGCCTGCCGTTGTTCGTCTGAACACAGTGATAATGAGATCACATTGGGCATCAGAGCCATCTCTCTTGTGAAACTGTGAAGAGTGGGGAACTTCCCTACAGTCAGCTGGTTTCTTTTGACCTCCTGTGAATCTTGCTCCGGATCGAGTACTCAGCACTTGTAATGAACTTTGATTGAATCTAGTGCATTCTTTGCAGGACTTGGGTTATCAACATCGGCCCCCCATCGGAACGGAAGGGTCTCCGTTCCTGCAGTTGTGGGTGGTGGGAAAAAAGCTAGCTTGCAGGAGGAGGAGGAGGAGGAGTTGGTGCTCCTCAGCACGTGTAGTGTAGCGCAAGAGGTGCACAGGGATGCTCAGGGTTGTGCAGAGCTGGCAGCTGGTCCAGCTCGTTCGTACAGCTGACACCTCGCGATCGACATCTCGGCAGTCGCCTGAAGTTCTGGAAGTCTTTGTGTCCTTCCCTGCGACACCGAGGTGCAGGCCCAAAGCAAGCAAGCTATCCAAGTTGTAGGGATCAACCTGTGCGACAATGCTCTGCTCAATCTATATGTTCCCACGTGCGGCACGGTCGGAGAAGCAGCATGCGAATGTCCAAAAGTCGTGAAAACGCAGGGGCCGCCTCGTGACCTTTCCTCAGACATTGAATTGCCTCAGCTACATCTGGAATGTCTTCAGGCAGCACACCCCCGCCACATGATGAGAGAACACCGTGGAGACAGCCGGACAGCCTCTACGTCTTGGTCAAGCTGTGCGTAGAGCTGACCAAGCCTGAGATGTCGGACCACGAAACTAAGCGCACGGTCTACGTCTACCTAGCCTCCTTAGCAGCCTTAGCACACAAGGGTGCGGCATCCTCCATCCTTCTGAGCTTTCCGGGTTTCGCTGGACCTGCTATGCTTGACAACGCATCAGGGAGGAATGAGCCTTGGCAGCAGCCTCGGACTCCAGACAAAGAAGTGCCTCACGGTCGCGCCCTGCCAAGCACAGACATCTTCGGAATGCAATGATATGCAACACTGAGCCACTGGAAAGACTTTGGGCCAAGGATTGCTGTTCGGGGTTCAACCCACGCAGTCATCTGGCAGGTCGGCTCTATCGACGGCACATGCAGTCTTCGCACCAAGGGTTCTGCATGATCTGACTCGAACCCCCCACCTGAATGGAGGGCGGGTCTGCGTGATGCACTGGCCGTCGCATGTTAATGTTTGTGCACACGCATACATTTCCGCGCGTCCTATACAAACGTGCGTACATACATACATACATACGTACATACATACATGCATACATACATGAATGCATGCATGCATTGCGAAGTACCGCATATTCAACAAGCAGACAAACAACACCCTAAGGTATTGGATGCACTGCTCGCTCCGATCAAAGTAGCCCGAAAGTCACAGGTTGCCTCTTTGCTGGAGTCGCACAAAGTGCTCCATGGTCCTGAGCCAACGACGTTGGCAAAGTCGGGGAAGGTAGAGAACCTGTTATTTTCACACGCCTCCTTGCGATAAAGTATGATACTTTACTCTCACACGTGTAGAACACGTCAAGGTAGATAGAAGTAGAAGCATTAGAAGCTCACGAAAAGTTGGCTTCAGGGGGCTGCGGAGAAAAGTGGCTTTTACATCCACTGCAAAAGTCGTCTGAGCAACATGCCTCCTGTCTACAGCACTAAAAGTTGCATTGGAGAAAGAAAGAAGAGTTCGTTGTGCTCGTGATCCAAATGGCGTGGCTGCTCCACGCTACATCAAAGTACAGCATTCTCGGCAACCAAAGTTGCTCCACCTGCCTCGCAGAGGCAAGCATGTCGATAAACACCGCACGCTCAAAGTCAACAGCACAAGTGCTAAAGTTGGCCTCGGGGCGCAAGTCGCCCGCGATTGGCACATTGTACTGCTGCTGCTGCTTCGGTGGCATGACCTCAAAGTCTGCTGCGTAGCCTCAAAGGTAGCAAAGTGCGCCACGCGCACAAATAGGTCAGCCGATCCAAAGTCCGTGCCTCGTCCAAGGCTGCCAAAGTCTCAGCAAGGTGATCGTCCGGGGTGCAAAAGTCGCATAGCTTGGCGTTGGATATGTCAACCAAAAGTTGCTTCACAAAAGCAACGTTATCCGACTCTTCCACAATCAGCTCTTGCAGAAAAATATCCCTTCTAAAGGGATAATATTGCAACCACTCCACAAAGAACCCGTGGTCTGCAGCCGGCAGGTCAAAGTTGTCAACCAAAAGTCCGGCAACTTCCCAACAGTTTCCTCGTCCATCTGTGGTTCCATCCGAAAGGCAAAGTCGCAGTGGGACGGGGCAAAGTTGCGAGAAGGCGCGGCAGCGAAGAGGCGCAAAGTTAGAAGCAAGCCCACAACGAAACCGAAGACCCTGAACACAAAGTCGAATGAACCTACGATGTACATTAAAACACAAAGTGGTGCTCTGCACCGGAGAATCGTCACCGGAAAAGTCATGCACGTCATCGGAAAAGGTTTCACGGTAAAGGTTTCGTCATTTCGGTTCGCGAAAACTGGAAAGCGGCAAAATTCTTAAAGTTCTTGTTCAGGAGACAGGAAAAAGTTTCGACGACGAGCGCAAGTGACATGGCAAGTGTACATGAAAAGTGACATGTCCGCACAAGCAAGCGAAAGTGCATGTCCGCAGAAAGTGATTCTCTCAGCTCTCAAAGTCTCTTCTTTCTCGTCTGGGTT